TTCTTCGGGACGCAGAAGCGATCTGGCGACAGGTAAGTCGCCAGGATCGCTTCTGTTGTAAAGCCGACAGTCGGCTCTACAAGTTTAAACAGACTCCCGGCGGCAAAAGTCGCCGGGAGTCTGTTTAAACAGCCCCGATGCTGGCGACGTACACTGTACGTCGTCAGTCACGAAGGGGTTAATGCAGTAGAAGATAAAGGAAATAAAAAGGGGCGGGGAAAGAAGGGGAAGACAAGTAGGGGGAAAGGGTCCATCCGTCGGTCAACTTCAATTGTAGTTCAGGTCTGCTCCACAGGCTTTTCGGTTCACAGCTGAGGGTCACACATTCATTACCTCTTAACTCTATGGACCACATCACAGGCGGTGAAGGGTGTCAATATCTAGATCAGGGTGATTATGTAGAATCCAGGGTTGCCAGATTTTAAGAAATTTGGCTTGTGAATCCTGTAGGACGTACGACAATCGTTCATTTAAGAGAACTACATCCAGCCTATTGGTGAATTCCCGATACGGGATGAATTGTTTTTTCCAATTTCCCGCCAACGTTAATTTGGCGGCAATGAATATTTGGTGGGCTAGGGCTCCCTGAGCTTTGTTCAGTCCGGGGACTGAGGCATGGAGTAAGGCCTGTGTTGGGTCTTTAGAGATATTTTTGGCAAAAAGAGTCGAAAGCAAACGAAAAATTCTGGTCCAGAACCGGAGCACCGGTCTTTTTATAAGCTCAGCATCTGACTTTTATCAGATCGAAGCTCTGTGCTGGTGATGAGCAAAAGTGGAGCTGACTTGACAAAGAGACACAGAAAGAAATTTCATAAAATACCATCAAATGTCAGAGTGGTCTAAGGAGACTTCTAACACTTTGCAAATGCCACCATCCTGCAGCAGGGAAAGTTTTGCCAAGGTTTCCCATGTGACCTGTTGACCTTAAAGTCACAGTTAATGGGAGATTAACACATCGGCGCTCAGAAAAAGCATCTGTTTATACCCAAATCCTTTGTTAAAGCTGAATTCTAAAGTCGACTTTTAAAGTTTAAATATACACATGTGGACTTTGTTATCAGATTAGAATCGCTATCCAGCCATGTTTGTCATTCACACACCTCTGCCAGGCAATAAAAACTGGGAGGGTGAAACCATGTCCTCTGCTAGAGTTAGGAAATACAACGGAGTCACCTCCCAGCTAACAGCCTGCTGATTGGACAATGGACACTGTGGCCATGTTGGTGTCGGTGGCAGGAACCTCCCAGATCAAAGCCTGCTGATAGAACAATGGACATGGTGGTGATGATAGTGTCAGTGGTAGAAAGCTCCCAGCTCACAGCCTGCTTATAGGTCAATGAACATGGTGGTGATCTTGTTGTCGGTGGTAGGAACCTGCCAGCTTACAGCCTACTGACTGGACAATGAACATGGTGATGATGGCGGCGTTGACGGTAGAAACCTCCTAGCACAGACTGCTGATTGGACAATAAAAATAGTGATGATGGCGGCATTGACAGTAGAAACCTCCCAGCACAGGACAATGGACATGGTGGTGGTATTGGTGTCAGCCGGAGGAACCACTGAGCACATTGGGGGGGACACACTCTGGGAAGTGTTGGTTTCTGCAATGACTTTGGGGGAGATCTCTGTGTGGGTCTCCATAGTTCCCCGTGGCATTCAGTGGTTCTTTCCTTTAATCTCACATCCCTGCAGCAGAGAGAGTGGTGATATGAAGCTCAGCAGGAGGAACCAGTGAATACCCAGGAGCTAGACACTCCCGGAATTGCTGCTTTCCTGGTGGACTTCGATGGATGAGAACTCATGAACTGAACGTTGTTTGGCGTCCCTGGAAAAGGTGAGTATTTTCTGCTTTGAAAACTGTACGTGTTACACATATAATGTTTATGTAGCTTTCAGTCATTATTGAAAATACATAAGAAAAATAACAATACCTGGAGAAGGGTACACATGTCTTCTCAGCAGAAGATTAAATCCAATTCAGTAACACCATGACTCTCCCACCGCTGCAAGAAAACATAGACAGGAATTCAGATGTACCAAACAACAACTGGTTACAAAATTGCACCGAATAATAATAATAATAATAATAATAATACACAAAAACAAGCAAAAGAATAATAGAATAATATTTTGATTTATTTTAACAGTAATACTAACAATGCTACTACATACCTGAGTTCAGAAAAATAATGACCATTGACCTCCGACCTTTGCTTCACATGATTGAGATAGATAGATAGATAGATAGATAGATAGATAGATAGATAGATAGATAGATAGATAGATAGATAGATAGCTCTAGATTTGCATTTTGCAATAACAAAGTTACATCTGTGGTTGGTCTACAAATCTCCCCGCTCCTCCTGTCTGTAGAAGAAAAGAAGTGTAGATACAAAGACACCAACATTTTGTGTAAGAAATCAAGTTCGGACCTGAAGAAGGATACAAACGGCCACAACAACCTCACACACAGACTTCAACTCTTCAACACAGCAAAGTAAATCATTTCAGCTTCCTCCTGAAGTCTCTCCCCCCAGGCCTTGACATGGATAAGCTCTTCTTATATACACTAACCTCCCCTAGTACCTCATTGTCACTGGCAGAGCTCCACATATGAAACAGAGAACAAGAAAAGACGAACCCAATTAAAATTTCAATCACAAAAACATTTTTTTTGGAACTCGGAGAAGCACTCGGATGTTTTAGGTGAAACCTATCCATTCTGTTTCTTTAAAGGCCCCTTAAATCATCTTCAGATAGAACATCCTCAGCTCAGGACAGATAATAAAATGAAAAATTATGCCCCGCTACTTCCTTAACCTCGTAAAAGACGGATTCGGTTGTGAGAGAAGTAAAAGATGAATGGTACAGTTGGAATAAAAGGTAATTAGATGGATTGCCATCCCATAATTCATTTTATCATTTTTTTTTTCAGAGATCCTAAATTTCTATCCGCGCCGTTCAGCTGGGGATGTAAAGTGATCTGTCAATGCTGTACCTGCTCAGGATTAGAAAGCTTGAAGGACAGATCAGATAAAAAGAATCCGCAGACCTTAAATCATTCAATCGTTCCGTTCGGCGATCCTGTAACAAGATGTTTTAATTCACTTTAAAAAAAAAGAAGATGGACCTTAAAGGAGAACTGAGGGGGAGGGGCTTTTCACTCACCTCATAGTTCTAGCCGACCTGTGACAATGAGACTGTCACAGGTCGGCTCAGTAGATCGGGAGGTGAGCGAACACATGCCGGTGTTCACTCACCTCTCGATCCTGTCACGGCTCTCTGCCGTGACAGGGGAGGGGCTGGATTCCCCCCTCCCCGCTCCGATCCTCCAGCGCTGACTGGCGGAACGGACGGGGGAGGGTCCTGCTGGCTCTGCCTCTAGATAGGCAGAGCCAGCTGTCAATCACGCAGCTGGGCGGATCCTGGCACAATTGTCGGGATCTGCTTCAGCTGCAGCGTCTCAGTATACCGCGAGCAGCAGCTCCCTATATACTGAGCCTAGGGTGACGGGAGGACGCTAGTTTGTGTCCTCCCGTTACCCTAAGGAGAACTATGGGGAAAATCCTTAACCCCATAGTTCTCCTTTAAAGTTTCAGAGGAGAATTTCGAGGAGTTAGGACACACTTCTCCACTCTTTCCAACATTGTTAAAAATCAAACGGCAGAGCAGCATTTAAAGCTGAACTCCGGGCACAAAAACTTCCATTTAAATCTATTCCTCAATAGCCACAAAGGATAGAAATCCACTTTGTGTGCACCAGATGTCCGAATGTAGGCTATGTCCAGATAGCAGTGACATCATCACTGTGCCGTACACAGCCCGTGCGGTGGGAAGGGCCACCCACTACAGAAAACTAGAGGAGGGGGTGGAGACAAGACCCCCAAGGTATAAATACACTTTGTGTGCACCAAACACCTTTGCACACCCCACATATTGTCACTTAAAAGTAGCAGTGACGTCATTGCTGAGCTGTACATAGCCTGAGCAGAGAGCAGAGCTGTAGGAGAGATCTAGAAGGCTCCACCCACCGCAGGTTGAAAACTACAGGAGGGGGCGGAGACAAGACTAGTAACACTGCACAATGACAGAGAGCAGAATTGACCGGTCTTTATTACAGGAGGGGGCGGAGACAAGACCAGTCACCCTGCACAAGGAGGGAGAGACTCAGTGACAGGTCTTTATTACAGGAGGGGGCGGAGACAAGACCAGTCACCCTGCACAATGACAGAGAGCAGCATTGACCGGTCTTTATTACAGGAGGTAGTGGAGACAAGACCAGCCACCCTGCACAAGGAGAGAGAGCAGCAGTGAGCGGTCTTTATTACAGGAAGCTCCAAGTATCACACTGGATTACCTCACCGATCTGGAAGAAATATACAAAGCTCACCAAGATTCAACGAAGATTACACATTGGTGGGAATTCCCCTCATTGTATTTAGACAATATTTGCTTAATTCAGAGTTCAGTCTTAAATGAATCAAAGCTTCTTTCTTTCTTTCTACAATTACAGTTGTCACTTGAACAGGAATGAAGCACAAATGGTCCAGTGGGGACACGTCTTCCATTGACAACTGTCTAAGACATGAATAGGCAACATTGGGCACTCCAGCTGTGGTGAAACTACAAACCCCGGTATGCCTCTACCTCTGGGAGTCCCGTCTGTGGCTGCAAGCGCCTTGCAATGCCTCATGGGACTTGAAGTTCCACAACAGCTGGAGCACCCTAGGTATCGGAGGTCATTTCCTTTTACTTCCTGTTGTGTCTACAGATATAAAGTTTTCTCTGCATATACGACTGACATCTGTTCTCCATGTACATTTGACCAAAAAGGAAAGTCTAATTTTGACTGACATAGTGCAAGAATCTACCTCAGGGGTCTGCAACTCCGGCCCTTCAGCTGTTGTCGGACTACAAGTCCCATGAGGCATTGCCAGTCTGATAGTTATAGACATGACTCCCAAAGGCAAGTTGGCATTTGTAGTTAAAGTACAGCTGGAGGGCTGGAGTTGCCCACCCCTGATCTACCTAACAGTCCATTCGGTTCATATACAATCAGATGGGCTCTCTTGCTCCATTGTTGGTGGAGATTGTACAATCAGATTGGAAGGCGCCTGCTCAGCTTTCTTCTATTGTACATACTGGAATATCTGCAGCCTCACATAATAATAGACGGCAAGCCTTTATCTGAAGCCGACTCCCGTTGAGATATATACGGTTTGCTTTAAAGTTCATATTAAATTGCCATTATGAAGGCCCCCTTCCCGGGGGCCCTTCTTCATTTTTCATACTTGCCAAAACGTAGGGAACGTTTTCCAAAGGCTTCTAGAAATATCCTCTAATGTTTGTGGCAAACTCAGAGCCGGCGAGCTAAGCCGATTGGACGTTTGGACTTTGCGCGATAGTTTTTACTGTCACTAATGCGGGAGCTGCAGGCACTACATGGCTGATGGAGCTAATATTCATACATTGAATTAACTTCCAGTCACATTACATTAGCCCAGTTAATGCTAATGAAAACCGCCCAACGTCCTCCGGAGCCAGCCGGCACGGCTAATGCTTTTCCTTAAATAGTGATATTGGCTCTAAACGTCACGACGCGAGCTGACGGGCACATCGCTCGAGTCATTTTTACCGGCCCCGGCTGAATTATGGAGGAGTCTTGGGGAGACATTTTTCCTAAGCACGCCGTACCCGGTGTCTCATTGCCACCATTGTTCACCTTTAAGTTAACAGTTTACAGGCTCAATTGTCCGCCGTCTCCCTATCTTGCCCCCATTGCAGGTCTGCGCTGTACAAATTGTTCATTACTTTCACCGTTAATGGAGACATCCACTTCATTCGTCATGTCAGGGGAAGTGACTTCGCCAGGATTAAAATAACCAGTCTGGAGAAAGGCAGAAGTTTTAGGAATGTGTTAACCTTTAAGATTGGATCGTTACAAGCTGAACTGCCTTAGCTGATGCCCCGGAGGCTCTCAGCGCATTACAGTAATGAATGGCACGCTTAAGACTTAAGTAGCGGCTTGCTCGTGAAGCCCCCCCTTTGGCAGTTTTTGGTACGGCAAGCCAGTGCTGGAAAGCAAACCTTTAGGGAAGGGTGGGCAACCTGGGCACTCCAGCTGTTGGGGAACTACAAGTCCTAAAAGGCATTGCAAGACTCTGACAGCTACAGGGTTGACTCCCAGAGGCAGGGACATGATAAGGATTATTTGGATTTTCAGCACAGCTGGAGTGTCAAGGTTGACTACCCCTCGTCTTAAGCTTATCTAGCATCCCTCCAAAGGGTCAAAGTGGCCCACAGGAATGGTCCCTCATTGACTTCAGTGTGATTAATATTCAAAATTTGCCCAAAGTTGCCTACCCCTGGTCTATAGCGTAGCTAGCATCCCTCCAAAGGGTCAAAGTGACCCTCAGAAATGGTCCCTCATTGACTTCAGTGGGATTCATATTCAAAATTTGCCCGAGGTTGCTTACCTCTGTCTTAGACAGTTGTCACTGGAATGGGTGTCCCCATTGAATGATTTGTGCTTTATTCCTACAGTTTATCTAGCATCCATCCAAAGGGTCAAAAGTGACCCTAAAAAATGGTTCCCCATTGACTTCAATGGGGTTCAAATTCAAAATTTGCCCAAGATTGCCCTTCCCTGTCTTAGACGGTTGTCACTGGAACAGGTATCCCCACTGGATGATTTCTGCTTCATTCCTATAGCTTATTTAGCATCCATCCAAGGGGTTACAAGTGACCCTCAAAATGTGTGCCCCTTTGACTCCAATGGGATTCAGATGCCAAATTTGCCTGAGGCTGCCTACCCCTGTCTTAGGTGATTGTCACTGGAACAGGTACTCTCATTGGACGAATTCTGATCCATATTCTTATTGCAACTCAACATTTTACATTATAACTCACTTTCAGTGCTGGCTAAGCTACACAAACAACTTTAGTCTCTTGCCACACTGAGATTTAAAACGGGACTAGACCCACCAGTTTAATGTGATCCAAA